ACACACACACTCTCACACAAACACTCACTTACACTCTCACACTCTCTCTCACAAACACACACACTCTCACACAAACACTCACTTACACTCTCACACTCTCTCTCACAAACACACACACTCTCACACAAACACTCACTTACACTCTCACACTCTCTCTCACAAACACACACACTCTCACACAAACACTCACTTACTCTCTCACACACTCACACACACACACACTCTCTCTCTCTCTCTCACACGGCCTTGTTTGTCTGTACTGTTTCTTTTGACTCTTGAATTACAAAATGTAAGATTGAAGATATTGGCATACACAGAAGTCTTAAAGTTTAAGATTATTATTTCATTATACATAGCCACTGAATGGAAATGTCTGAATAAAACTCTTGTTCTTCTGACAAATATTTAGCTTGTCTGGATCTGCTAGAATAAAGGGAGATATTCCAGAGATTCTTCTTCACTTCAGCTATTTTAACTGTTGTCACACATAAGAAACACACATGCGTTTACAGGACGATGATGTAGAATTATGGTTCAAAGATGGTTTGGATTTAATGTCAAACCTTCAAAACATCAAATGGCTCTAAAGGCCAGCGCTGTGCTGCATGTCTCGTCAGAGAGAGGACAAAACACAGATATAAAAAGGCAAAGGGGGTGAATATTTGTGCCGTTTCTGTTGCTTGTTCTGAGATATGCTCCTGATTCACCACAGAATAAAGAACATCTGTTCAGAAAGAATCTGAATGACCTACATATGTACTGAAATCATATATGTCATGTTTAATGAAGTAAATCTGCCATCTGCTGTCCTCCAGCATCATCTGAATCTCCTGAAGGATCATCCTGCATGACACACGGTCAAAATACAGCCTTTGCTGGGTTACATGGCCTTACCCTGTGTACAGTATTTATTCATCATCAATATTTCAGCATGTCTACACAAACACAAAGCAGGGCTGATTTTGTCCTGCTTCTGCTCTCATGAGCATTTCGACATGATTCTGTCTTCACACACACACACATACACACACACACGTGCTCAAATGACCTTTAGTTTCAGTTGATCTGTTTATCTGTTTATCTGTGCGACCTGCTGAAAGTTTCATCAGACGGCAGATCTACACAAAAGAGCTGTCAGATCTGCTGTCCTCCAGCATCATCTGAATCTCCTGAAGGATCATCCTGCATGACACACGGTCAAAATACAGCCTTTGCTGGGTTACATGGCCTTACCCTGTGTACAGTATTTATTCATCATCAATATTTCAGCATGTCTACACAAACACAAAGCAGGGCTGATTTTGTCCTGCTTCTGCTCTCATGAGCATTTCGACATGATTCTGTCTTCACACACACACACACATACACACACACACGTGCTCAAATGACCTTTAGTTTCAGTTGATCTGTTTATCTGTGCGACCTGCTGAAAGTTTCATCAGACGGCAGATCTACACAAAAGAGCTGTCAGTCCCGCGAGGCCACGCCCACCGAGCGGCCGAATGGGCGGAGTCTCGCGTCTTCGAGTTCATCCTGGAGTTGAATGAAATTTCCCTCTTAATTCCGCGAGCGGTTCGTGACAGAAGCTGTTCCCGCGCGGATGATGCCGACACGAGGAAACAGATAATCAGACCAGCATCATCATCGTCTCCGTCTCCACAGCATCCTCAGGATGTCGGACTCGGAGATGTCAGAGTTCGCGAGTATCGTGGAGCGCATCGAGAGAGGCGAGGTGAGCTTCATCTGAGGATGGTGTTCAGATCTGCTGTCAGCCAGCACGAGACGGAACGATGAATCATTACATATAATAATACTAATTATGATTGTGCTATTATGTTGGTGCTTTATAATCGCTCATTCATCCGCCTCTGATGTGCTGTTGTCAAGATCCCGTTCATGTGACGTCACTGCTCCACCTTACCTTTTTTCCATCATTTATAATAATGTTGTCAGTGAACATAAGAGGTTATTTGTCGGGCGTGCTGTGAAGAATGTAGCGTCGGCTTGGATATAAATAATGATTCGTATCATGTATAATGTGGCGTTCTGTCGCGGGCCCCGCCCCTTATTTAAATACCCGATAGTTTCGCTGCAGGGTTGCTATAGTGACGGCCGATGACTCCGCCCACATTCGGCTAGCTCGCGCGTTATCGGCGCGTCACGTTGTTCGATTCGTCCTCGATCTGCGAGAATCTCTCATTTGCGAAGTTGAATCCGAAACGCGGAGTTTGTCCTTCATTCTGCTCGCGATGTCCAGGCGAAGCTCGCTGCTAGTAAGTCCATGAATCCGGTTCTCCTCCTGAATGAAACCGCTGTTGTTTGCTGACGGAAAGTTGAACCGGTTGTTTTGAATTTATTTAATATATACATGTTTTTAAATGCTTTTAAAATAAAACACAGGCCTTGTAGAGGTTCGTCCTTGTGACAGAGTTTAACAGCTGGTGAATCGTACTTCTCACGCTTGAAACAGAAAGGCGAAAGTGAACAATGGAAGTAGTTCCCCAAACGCGCGTCATCTGACGCTGAAGCCCGGGTTTGTGTTCCGCAGGTGCCGATGAAGAGCATCGAGCGGGAGCTGATCTGCCCCATCTGTGCGGAGCTCTTCACACAGCCGCTCATCCTGCCCTGCCAGCACAGCGTCTGCCACAGATGCGTCAAAGAGCTGCTCATGCCCAGCCACGACGACTCGTTCAGCACAGACGCGGGGTCCGAGAGCTCGAACCCGGGCAGCCCTCGCGCCAGAGGCCCGTCCCCCAGCGTGGAGAAGCTGGAGCGCCTGGTGCGATCAGGTAACCCTCGAGTCTGGACCCACCTCAGAAGCACAAACAGTCCTCACTGCATAATGCTCGATTTGAGGCACCTTCGATCCGAAAGGCGCGTGATAAATACACTTTATTGATGTTCACTTGTGATTTTGCATCTGAATCTAAATTGAGCAGCAGAATTTCAGTATTTTTGTCTTGTTGAACATCCTTAAATCAATATATATTTACAGAATTTAAGTGATAAACTGAACAAGTGAGCTTATGCTTAAAACAAGAACAAATGTCTGTCAGTGGGGAATGAAAACTTGTTTTCTCTTTGAATTCAGTTGATTTTTCTCAGCCCATCGGCAGATATTTGTTCTTGTTTTTAATCAAACTCACTTCATTTTGATCAATTTCTCATAAAACAAGACTTCATATCTTAAGTCATTTTGCTTTGCTTTTCAATTAAATGTAAATTGATTTAAGAATCTTCAGACATTTGAACTGCAAAACAAAATAGGATTTGGGTGAGATCAACAGCAGATGAAATTACATAAGCTTATGTTTTGCGGATACAAAAAACATCTGGTTTATTACTGCAGGAATGATTGAGCAGGTTTTGGTCTGCTGTTTTCGTGTCTCCTCATCTCTTCTTTTACACTGTTGGCTTTCATTGCAGTTTTTCCCAAGAAATGTGATGCTGTTTTCATGTTCGTACAGTCATTGGTTGTGAATCAGGTTTCACTCCACTTCTGGTCACGTTTAACCATTGTTAGTCTTGTTTCACTTTTCTCTCTGTTGCCTGCAGCCTCGCTGAGGAGGTCGTTTGGAGGGAGAGGTAGATGTGGTTTACGTAATTTAATTAGCTGTAGTGAGTACTGTGTCTCTAGAACGCTCTCTTCTCGCG